TATAAAGTCTTGATAACAGGCGGATCTAGTGATGTTTCCCATGAACCTGTGAGTGATCTATAAGTAAACATTTCTGAATATCCCTGTTCTTATTGAGAATAACTTTTGAGACAGCAAATTTGTAGTGTGGAAACCTGACTTTAACATATGCCAGAAACACTAGGTAAGTATTTATTTTTTCAGAAAAATAACATTGTGTAAGGTTTTAGTGAGTTTGTAGAGAGGATTAGCTTATTGCTCTTTCCATTTAAAAGTTAAAAATCTTTTCTTTCATTGCCCATATTATATTTAAAAGAAATATAATAAAGTATTCAAAATGTATCACAAGCCAGGAAGCCTATATTCCACCACATTTTTTATTGTTTAATAGAACTAATAACTGTGTAATTGAAATCATGCTAATGCTCACTTGATCTGCCTGTGTGATTCAATGCAGAGATTTCTGGTTTGACTTAAACTGCTGGGAAGAAGACTGCATTTTGAGAAATAAAATTGATTTTGCACAATCCGCTGATGATCAGCAAGGCTTAATGAATGATCGCCTCAAGAAACCTCATTACAGTAATTTGGATGGATGAGCAGGAGTGAAATGCAAAAAGAAGAAAGTATAGTTGCTGCTCGAATGCATCATTTACTGATATTTGACTAAAACTACCCAGAGCCAGCATAGGGAGAGGATCAGATATCATTGCCTTACTTTCCTTGAAACCTCCAACTTAGTTTGATGCTTTTTGGGAAAAAGAAGATAAGTTTTGGATTTCTGTAGTAGTTATTCTCTAGCAGAACAATGCAGTCATTTTATTTGTAGAGGTGTGATTGTATCCAGTTTATAAATTGTGGGTGATTCCAGTCCGTTATTGTACATTTTTTTTTTTTCTTTTTTTCATGACAGTTCAAGGAAGTCATTGCCTTGAAGCTGTGAATTGGATGATTGCTGAAGCCATTTACTTACGTGGAATCTACTGGTTAACTCCTTATTAAAGGTGAGAGTCTTCTGGTCAGCCTGGTTTCAGCTGTTCACATCACAAAACTTCGCTGCAGTTGATAACAGCATGGTGTTCATTTACAAAAGGCTCAAGAATAAAGTAGGTGGGAAACAGCAGAAACCAAAGTGGAATGAAAATTAAAAATACAAAAACCTTGATAGGTTCAGATACGTTTCTGAACACCTCTATTGTACCATCCATCCTAACCATATGTTCAGTTTCAGGGGTGGTAGATATTCTCCAAATACTGTCCTCTGTGCTTGCTTTCATTTAGGGTGATGCAATAGCACCCTGCCATTCTTCAAAACAATTGAAAACAGAGGGGGGCATGTAGTTCTAGCTGCAAGTCTTTCCTCTCTATTGGTTGAGTGAATGGCTGTTCTTCTGATAGAACTTAGGCTTTTGTTAAGACCTAGCTGGTTTTTCTTCTCCAGGAGGGGATGGTTCTGTAAGATGTAAATAACAGCTGTCCCAGGGAAGATTAGGTCTGTGTTGGACTATCACCTCTGTATTCCATTTTACATTTTATTCCTTGGTTTAGATTTTGAAGCAAAACTGTGAAGTTCTTCTAAAAAGCAATGGAGGATTGATGCCAAAATGACAAACAGGATTTTCTCCCCTGTTTTCCAATTTACGATTTATTAAAATATGAATAATTTAGTGAACTCACGTTCCAAAATATATTATTCATGGTTTTTTTGTTTCCAGAAGAAAAAATAAGGAAATACGGCCTATGAATTACATGTTACTTTATTTTCTTAACCCAAGATGAACACCTTTGACATAGTTGATAGCAGTTTTTATATACTAATGCCTGTAATAACTATATTGGCTATAGGAGAGCTGCTCTGGATTTACTGCTTTGACTTGGGTAAAAATTCGGTCAATTTTCTGGTAAAAAAAGCTGTTAGTCTGGTAGTCTTTTCCCATGCTTGGAATATCTAGGGAACTTTCTCTGCTATTTTTTTTTTGAAGTAATACTGTTTTGATGATGCTTCTCCCAATGCGTACATTTTGAAGTGTATGCTAGGTGAAAATACATGGCTCAGTGAAATATATCTTTAAAACCTTTAGGGATAACTTCCTAATCTCTTTACGTCAGGACATTTCAGGTATTAAATATTAGATTATATTCTGACATTACTTACTTTTTCATCAGGCTGATGTTCAAGATTTTGCAATTGTAGTTTGGCTAAAACTTTTGTCAAGTTGAATTCAGCACTGCGTTTCCTAGCTAACTGTAATGAATCAAAACCTGGTGTTTATCCAAAGTCTTGTTGCCCCGTTGCTCCTCTACAGCTTACAGGATGTTAAAATCTGAAGTGAAGTTTCCCAGGTTCTGTAGGAAGTAGAGGCTGCACAGCAGAGTAAGAATTGAGTTACAGCATTTTGCTAACACCTGGTCTGGATGCTTAGTCTCAGGCTGATGAGCTGGTGGCTGTAAAACATGTCCTGGTTTGAAGTAAAACAGGACCAATTTTGTTCAGTAACTTTGCTTCTCAGCTAGGCCTCTTCTAACTACTGAAATTAACAGCATATTGTACAGAAACTATTTGGTCTCAGAGTGATAAGACCTATGTTTATAGCTGATGCCAAGGCATGGTACGCAGAGAGGCTTTTGCCTATACTTATTGCTATAACAACCAAGGGCAGCTAACGTTGTTACTTGCCCCGTTGCAGGGTCGAAAGTGGAAAAGCATAGTGGGGTCGCACCTGTGAGAAGGAGCGGACAGGACTGGTGACCCAAAACTAACCCACAGGGTATTCCATCCCATCTGCCTCATGCTCAGTGTAAAAGCTGAGGGATCAAAGGGTCAGCCCTCTTTCTTCAATGGCCAGTGTCTGAGGAGGGCTCTGTCTGTTTGTCTGCCTTTGATCCCGATCCTGAATCCGGTTCCCATCCATCACTGAGTCCAGTCTGGGACTTCCTCAGTGCCAGCCGGTGACATGATTGTCATCCTGGGAGCTTGATATGGTTTTGTGTATGTTTCATTATTTTTTTTTCTATTTTATTATTAATATTTCATTAAAGTAGTTTAGTTCCTTCTAAACTCGTACGTCTCTTTTTCCCTCCTCTGCCTCTCTCTTTGAAGAGAGGTGGGGGGAGCCCCAGTGGCTGGTTCGGCCTAAACCACAACAACGTGGCATTTACTGAGAAAGCTGCCATTCAGCCTTCTTAAGGATACAACTGTTCCCCTAAATTGCTTATCAATTTTCTGGCTTCCTAGAGCATTTTAGATAAAGGAATCGAAGCTTTATTGCCAGCCCTCCTCTTGATTTGTTAGTAAGTCATTTAAACTCTTGGTGACTCAGTTTTTTCATCTGTTACTTGGAATAATATTTGTTTGCTCTTTCTCATGGGACTGTTGTGAAGTTTATGTCATTAGTGTTTATAGAGGACTTGGAGATCTTAGATGCCAGATGCTAAAGAAAAAAAAAAAGGTTGTTATTACCATTTTCTTGATTAAATATTTGTGTATTTTTTCTTTTGCACTAGCCTTACAAATCACTGCAGTCTTTCATATAATGAAATTTACATCAAATAATGACTGTAATAACTGAACAATAATGAGGAATAGAAGACATTGCTTCCCTCTGAAACCACTGTAATTTACGTAAACCACTTGAGAGTCTGATAAATTATATTCTGCTTGGTCAGTCCACAGAGGGATTAATACTGGTTTGCTTTTTGTAAAACATTGGAAAACTTAAACTTTAGGTCGTGTGTGTGTGTGTTTATAGTCTTCTTTAGAAGCTGGCAATCTGAGAAAATTAGAGTTTGATATTAGAAATCATGCTTTGTTTTCCTGCTGGGCCCTGAACAATTCTTGTTCAATCTTATTTAGCTTTACAATCAGGTTGTCAGCCTTTCCTTAGTATAGTTGATTTGAAGTTTTGCTGAGCAATTAAGCTTTTATTCCCAAAAGACACTTCTTAATACTGAGGTAAATCAAGAGAAGAAACACGGGAACACGTGAAAATCAAGCACTTAGTTTATAATGCGTTCTTGCATCTTTATCACATTTATGTATGCAAACTGGTCATTTACGTTTTTTAGTTGTTGCCACCATGTGAGACAATGTGCCATTATGTGTGTCCACTTCCTTACCCGTGTTTTTCTTCTTCTAGTAGTCTGATCCTATGTGTATTAAAAAAAAGCAGTCATATTATTAACTATTTAGCATTACACAGCTGTCAACGTGCATTTACACAGCTTTTGTAAGTGAGGGGCAAAGTTAGCTGCATGTTTCACCAAGAGCTGTTTCAGAGCCGCTCTGATAAAGTGATGAAGATAAGCTGGAAAACTGTTGCTGTGTGACTGAAGAGTGGAGCTTTCAAGTCCAGAAAAGCATCTATGGGGTTCCTTCAGCTCTCAGCATTTATTCCCTTCTCGAGAGTGTCCTCACCTTCCAATGTGGCTGACCAGTTCCATCATACCCTCCCCATCCTGTGTGCTGTCTCAGCATACACTCGCATCTCATCATGATTTAACATGCCCTCCAAAATCTGGGTTTAGTGGCTTTGGTGATACAGTGAGCAGTGCACCTGCAGAATGATGGATTCAGTCCAAGTTTTGAATGTACAGGTGTCCCAGTTGTTAAATCCAACATACTAGTGAGTGGTGTCACTGTTTCTGCAAAGAAGGCAGGGGTTATAAGACTGAACAACTCAAAATGAGGGGGAATGAACACCACTAATAGCGGTTGGCACTTCTGTGCCATATTACCCAAGGACATAAATTTCAGGCATAGAAGATCACAGTCTCTCCCTTTGCGCTTAAAATTACTATGTCCACTCGAATTTTGGGGGAAGTGTTGTATAAAGTCCCACTGACAAGATCAGAACTTCACAAGGAGAGAAGAAAAATTTGACATTCTGGTTCTTATGTATGTGAACTGGGGACTTTTCAGTTAATTTGTTTTCTGCCTACATATACCTATGGCTCTTTTTCTTTCTATTGCAGAAGCAGCCTACTAAAGCAGATATACCCATTCGACTGTCAAGGTGTGGATCATGGGAGAGCAACTGTTAAACAACAGCATCCTTGATCAATTTATTAATAGCCATGAGCAGTCATACGAAGAGTTTCTAAATACATTCACTTATCTTTTGAAAGGTGTGTAACTTCCCAAATCTCCCATTAGAAATCACAGCCAGAAGGGAAGGTAAAAAGAGAAGCAGTATTACTTAGTGTTGTTGTGCTGCTTACTTTGTGAATCTTAGGCAAATCCTTGTGATGCTTTTGTTTCTCCTATCAGCAGTGTACTAAGGACAACTTTCCTTAGCTTGGTTGATAGACTGCTAAGGTAGGTCTCTACAGGTGTTTAACCATGTTTTACTCACTTTAGGGGAGTGGGGGAGTGTGCTGTTTTTGGAAGTATAGGCTTTTCCTAAGTAAGTCCTGCATTGTTTTGCTAGAGAAGTTTCCCTAAAAGAAGAAGAGCCTAAGGAAAGTACTTAATAGTATAAGATAGCCTAAAATTGGGGGTGTGCAATTTGGATACGTTCACAGATCTACTAACACTGGCTTGCTGTGCTCTGCTGTCATGTGCACCAAGCTAACAGATAAGTTGAATGAGGGCACATCAGAACATCAGATTAGGATGATTAGGCTGAAAAGGTCTCACGCTCTGCAGATGAAATAAAAGATGGGGCTAGCCTCGATCTGAGCATTGCTGAGTTACAAGCAGTTCAGACCTGGATCCAAATTCTGTAGCTCAGGTTCATTTCTTTTGGCCATGTTAAGTTAGATGCCATAAAAATAAATGCGAGATACATATTACTCACCTTCCTCTTTACCACAGCTTTGCACTAAAAATTATGTCCTCACATTACTGCAGAAACACTGCATTTTTCAGTTACAGCATGTGGCATGCTCCGTTAACTAGCACTGAGAAGTCTGTCCTGTCCTTGTCCTTCAGGCAGAACTAAGTGTCAGTCACAGGCACTGAGCAGAAAACCAGTGGGGGAGTAGAAGCTGCCATAGAAATAATCTTGTGGCAACTTTCTGTCTCCTCCCAATAAAAAATAGAAGAGAAAGGAGACACTGGGGGATGAGATAAGAGGATTGAAAATTAGGTTTTGGTCTTCCTTATGTATGATTGATACACTGGGGATAACTCCTATCTTAGAAGCATGCTGCATATCATGATGCTACTTGCAAAAAGCCTCGGCGTGCATTTCAGTCACTTTCATTGTCACTATAGCGTCTACCACTAAAACTGTATAAAAGGTAGAACTTTAGCTGAATCAGATGCTTAGAAATGCAGTTTCCTATGCTGGCGTAGATGAAACAGCTCAGCTTGTTTTCCTTCCACCTTCATTTTCCCTTGAAAATACCCAAAGGTGCTGGTTTGCATTATAAACGAATAACCTGCAAAAATTCCACTCAAAGTACAAGGCCTTTTAGCATCAGAACAGTGCAAAATACTTTATTAAATATCACATTCTTAGTTTCTTAATTTTGCACTTGAAAAAGTCATGTGGCTTTAAACATTTTTTTAAAAAAACAACTGTGATAGCTTAATAAGATGATCTGCTAATAGGCTCCAGAATTTTTTGCTTTTATGTATGAGTTCAGATATTTACCATGGGGATATATTTGTGGTTACTGTCCAGTAAAATCTGGCCATTTTCAGATTACCTTTCTGAATTTGGCCTGATAATGGTGTTGATCCACACACTAACTCTTGGTACAATGAGCATTAATGTCAGAATTTGCAGTCCCGCTTCATTAGATATGGAGATAGCTATTTGTATACCTAAATAACCAAGCCTATTCAGTTGTGTGTGTAAAAATATATAGGAGTTCTTTAAACAACATTCCTTGAAAAACATCACCATCTGATAGATTTTTGACTGTCGTAACGTTGGAAACAGAAGACACATATAATGAATTGGATCCCTCTGATTTCACAGGGTACCATATTTCACAGGGTACCATATAAGTTGATTTTCACTTGTGCATGAATTCGTACTAGCTCTGTAGTTGGGATTGCAAGGCTATTTTCACCAGGAGTTTCCACATTACTGAAAGTGTCTCATAGGAATCTGGTTTCCTAACTAATGTTTAATTTTTCTTCATTAGTTAGATTTACATACAGTGAAACTGAGAAGAATATACATTGAGTGCAAAAACACAAGGATCCTTGGCTGTTCTAGCTTGTCTAAAGAGAACCCTTTGAGGCTATAAATGTCAGCCTGGAGTAACCCCCTGTGACCACATTAGGGTCTTCTGCTGACAGAATTCACAGAATTCACAGAATTGTTAGGGTTGGAAGGGACCTCTGGAGATCATCTAGTCCAACCCTCCTGCCAGAGCAGGTCACCTACAGCACGTTACACAGGACAGCGTCCAGGCGGGTTTTGAATGTCTCCAGAGTGGGAGACTCCACCACCTCTCTGGGCAGCCTGTTCCAGTGCTCCACTACCCTCAAAGTAAAGAAGTTCCTTCTCATGTTAAGATGGAACTTCCTATGTTCAAGTTTATGCCCATTACCCCTCGTCCTATCACTGGGCGCCACTGAAAAAAGACTGCTCCCATCCCCCTGGCATCCTCCCATTAAGTATTTGTATGTATTAATAAGATCCCCCCTCAATCTTCTTTTCTCTAGACTAAAGAGACCCAAGTCCCTCAGCCTTTCCTCATAAGAAAGGTGCTCCAGTCCCCTAATCATCTTTGTTGCCCTTTGCTGGACCCTCTCCAGCAGTTCCCTGTCTTTCTTGAACTGGGGAGCCCAGAACTGGACACAGTACTCCAGATGCGGTCTCACCAGGGCAGAGTAGAGGGGGAGGATGACCTCCCTCGACCTGCTGGCCACACTCTTCTTGATGCACCCCAGGATGCCATTCGCCTTCTTGGCCGCCAGGGCACATTGCTGGCTCATGGTCATCCTGTTGTCCACCAGGACTCCCAGGTCCCTCTCCACAGAGCTGCTCTCCAGGAGGTCAGCCCCCAACCTGTACTGGTGCATGGGGTTATTCCTCCCCAGGTGCAGTACCCTACACTTACCCTTGTTGAACTTCATAAGGTTTCTTTCTGCCCAACTCTCCAGCCTGGCGAGGTCACGCTGTAAGGCAGCACAGCCTTCTGGCGTGTCAGCCACTCCTCCCAGTTTTGTGTCATCAGCAAACTTGCTGATGGTACACTCTATCCCTTCATCCAGATCATTGATGAATATGTTGAACAAAACTGGGCCCAGTACTGACCCCTGAGGGACACCACTTGTTACTAACCTCCAACTAGACTCTGCGCCACTAACCACAACCCTCTGAGCTCTATCTGTAAGCCAGTTCTCAATCCACCTCACTGTCCATTCATCTAAGCCACACTTCCTAAGCTTTCCTGTGAGGATGATGTGGGAGACAGTGTCGAAAGCCTTGCCAAAGTCAAGGTAGACAACATCCACTGCCCTCCCCTCATCCACCCATCTAGTTACTTTGTCATAGAAGGCTATCAGATTAGTCAGACATGACTTCCCCTTGGTGAATCCATGTTGACTACTTCTGATAATCTTCTTTTCATCCAGGTGCTTTGAGATGACTCCCAGAACAAGCTGCTCCATCATCTTCCCAGGGATGGAGGTGAGGCTGACCGGCCTGTAGTTTCCCGGGTCATCCTTCCTGCCCTTTTTGAAGACTGGAGTGACATTGGCTATCCTCCAGTCCTCAGGCACCTCACCTGTCCTCCAGGACCTTTCAAAGATAATGGAGAGAGGCCCAGCAATGACTTCCCCCAGCTCCCTCAGCACCCGAGGGTGCATCCCATCAGGCCCCATGGATTTATGTATATCCAATTTATCTAACTGATCTTTAACGTGCTCCTTGTCAACCAAGGGATAGTCTTGTTTCCCCCAGACTTTCTCTGTTACCTGCAAAGTCTGGGTCTCACAAGGACTGGCCCGAACAGTGAAGACAGAAGCAAAGAAGGCATTTAGCAACTCCGCCTTCTCTGCATCATCCGTCACCACAGCACCTGTCTCATTCAACAACGGGCCCACATTTTCCCTAGTTTTCCTTTTGTCTCCTATATACTTAAAGAAACCCTTCCTGTTGGCCTTGACATCCCTTGCCAGGTTCAATTCCAAGGCTGCCTTGGCTTTCCTTGTTTCCTCCCTGCATAACCTGACAGCATTCTTGTATTCCTCCCAAGCAGTCAGCCCCTTCTTCCACCTATTGTAAACTCCCTTCTTCCACCTGAGCCTTTTCAGAAGGTCCCTGCTCAGCCATGCAGGTCTCCTTCTCCCCTTGCCTGATTTCTTGCTCTTTGGGATGCAATTTCTTGCTCTTTGGGATGCAATAGTTCCATTCTTGTAAGTATGGGAAACAGTATTAATAAATGTTTGCATTCCCAACTTTCATTGGCTTTTTAAGGATTGCTAATATCCTGATAAAGAAAATAGCATTTTTAGAATGCTATCTTTTTCTATCTAAATGTGTGGTATTACCTTTGGCTACTCTCTAGAGTAAGAATAGAGATCCTATTCTTCCTTGTGTTATTTGAAAAGATATTCTTTTAGCTTAAGTAGAAGAAGATTTGGAGTCCAAACAAGGTCCTTCTAAATTCTGTGTAATTCATGTAGCGATATCATAGAATCATAGAATGGTTTAGGTTGGAAAGGACCTTGAAGATCATCTAGTTCCAACCCCTCTGCCATAGGCAGGGACACCTCCCACTAGACCAGGTTGCTCATGCTCGTATGTGTACGGTTTAAATAGCACACAGATACATTACAACTTAGGTGGACCATAAAATTGTATCTTTGATAAAGGAATTTAATCTTCCTGATTTTAGTATTCCTAAAAAAACAATTATTCTGGTTTTTAAAGTGTTCTTGGTGCTTAGTTCATAGGCTAATTGACAAGTAAATCCTATAGTAAGGCTTTTACCTCACTTCTGCCAGGTCTGATAAGACATGGAAAAACATATTTAAATACCCTTTTAAAACTCTGAGCTTAGCATTTAGAATATACATATATACTCCAACAGAACGTGTCCTATGTATCTTGAATGCATAATATTTAAAAAGTATGGGAGCACTTCCTCCATAATTGGAAATTTTTTTAACCCTTTTTGTTGATTCTGTAATGGATGGACACTTGAGGGCTAGTAGGTCT